TTAATAGCCTGTAATAATAGTGTGTCTGTCTGCCTTTTAAACCCATTGCAATAACTTTGCTGAAATTATAACACACTAGTAAAACTTTTCTTAAACAAATTTTGTCTGTGTCATATTTGGTATGATTTGGTAAAGTGGGTGGTAAGTTTTATGGTATTAAATTGAACAGATGAACATACTACTCAAGTTACTAGTGCCATAGCCTAGTATTTTTTTTTTAAGCAAATATAATACATTTATATCTTTCACATCACATCTTTCAACCTTTTACATGCTGTATCTCACAAGAGTAGATAGGCTACTATACCTAGAAATCAAAACATAGTCCCCGATAGCCAAAAATGTATTCATTGAAAGAATAAACGTTTGGAGTGTTTCATTAGGTGCAAAAGAGTATCTGTTATTGCTATTACCTTGGGTCCTCTCATGGCCCTGGCTTTTAAAAATAAGGTGAATTTGTTGACCTCTATAAGATATGTGGCGCTGTGGGTTAATGCGCCAGACTGCAAAGCCGTTTGAACTACGAGATCGGTGGTTCAAGCTCACCAGCTGCTCCTCAGAAACCCTATACAGGGTCGCTATGGGTCGGAATCAACTCAACGGCACTTAACAACAACAAATAAAAAAATTAGCGTCTCCTTTGTACCCAATGAAATTAATAGTAAATAACACTCATATGTAGTAGCCAGTAGTCAAAAAGATCATAAAATACATCAGTTTTAAGTTCCTTCCATATTCATCATAGCCATGGCTCCTAGCATAAGTTAAAGTCAATTTCTCAGGAGTAACATGGGTTTCGTTGGTGTTTTAGTTTCATATAAAAGAGGTCAGCATTCCCTTCTTTCATTCCCAATACCTACCTCACAACAAAGCAAAGGAGGCTGTAAATACCACTTATGCTTGCATCTACCCATAGCACCAAGTGTCATATACAGAACTACAAATGAGAGGGCTTCCAAAAGTAAGTGGGAAAAATTTCATTCTGTCCTTCCATTTGTGAAGTCATCATATAAATTAAACCAAAGCCACTGTCATCAAGTCGATTCCGACTTATAACAACCCTGTGGGATAGACTTACTCATTGTTTTAGGTGCTGTTGAATCAGTTCCAACTCAGAATGAAACACTGCCTGACCCTGTGCTATCTGCACAATTGTTAAATTTGAGTCCATTGCTGCTGCCACTGTGCCAGTTCATTTAGTTGGGAGGTCTCCTTAGCAAGCACATAATAATAAAATTAATTAATAAGAATTCTGACAAGTCATCAACCTCAGAAAAGAGTTAACTAATTTTTGTTGTAAGTGCCGTGGAGTCAGTTCCCACCTACAGGGATCCTGTGGTTTCAGAGGCTTTAAATCTTCATGGGAGCAGAAAGCCTCATCTTTCTCAGGCAGAGTGGCTGATGGGCTGGAACCATGAACTTTCTGTTTCGCAGCCCAGTGCTTAGCCTATGAAGCCACTGCGCTCTCAACTAATGTTAAATGCCTTGAGTCTGTTCCAACTCATAGCAACCCCGTATGAGGTTTCTGAGGAACAGCTGGTGTGTTGCTGACCTGTAGCTCATAGTTCAATGCGAATCTTACAGCACCACACAAGAAGTCCAACTTTTAATGTTTGCTGTTGTTACTAAGTACTGTTGAGTCAGTTCTGACTCGTAGCGGCCCTGTATAGGGTTTCCATAGAGCGACTGGTGAGTTTGAACCTACAACCTTGGAAATCAAATGGACCTTGTGCTGTAGTGCTTTATCCCACGGTGCCACACCAGGGCTCCTTAATATTTATTACACCTTATTAGTTACTACACCTTAATAAGGTTTCTTGACTTCGGCTAAAATGGTCACTCGAGTGCTCCCATTGTAAATTGGCAGGTGAGGGCATATCTGAGACTCATGCGCCAAGAGTGAGGTTTTGTCCAGAGATAATTACTTAAATCCAGTGGCTATTTTCTTCTAGATAAGAAATTTCTGAAACTGCCCAATATCAGAATCACGTGCATAAGTTTTTACAGATTCCTGAACCTTAACCCAGACAGGCTGTATGAATCAGAATCTGAGTGTGGGAGGTAGAAACCTGTATTATTAAAGCTTCCAAGTGATTCTGATTGAGTCCAAGTTAAGCACCATTACAAAAGGCTCTTATATCCCTGGGAGCCTACACTATGACTACTGAAGCCTATGGTCTCCATACTTTGGATTTGGCTAAGGGGAGTCCTGGAGTGGCACTGTGGGATAAAGCACTAGATCACAAAGTCGGTTGAAACCACAAGGTTGGCGGTTCAACCTCACCAACCACTCCTTGGAAACCCTGTAGAGGGTTACTATGAGCCAGACCCAACTCCATGGCACTCAACAAAACAAAGATGGGGCAGTAGGCTCAGGAAAAGACAAGAAATTGCAATCAAAACCTTTGAGAAAAGTTATTAAGTGCCATCAAGTCAGTGGTTGGTGGGTTTGAACCGTCAAACCCAGTCCAGTGCTTATCCTACAGCGCCACACCAGGAAGGTTATTGTTAAGTGCCGTCGAGTTGATTCCGACCCATAGCGACCCTTATAGGGTTTCCAAGGAGCAGCTGGTGAGCTTGAACCACCGACCTCGCAGTTGAAACGGCTTTGCAGTCTGGTGCATTAACCCACAGCGCCACACCAAGAAGGTAGTTAATATAAGTAAAGAATAAACCTACGCATTTTGTCCATGTATTCTTTATGTGATTGACATCGCTAACTTATTAACTTATTGTGATGTTAAATGTAGCTGTAATTAAAACGTTTTTTAAAGCAGAGGACAATAAATACTGGCAAGGATGTGAAGATACTGGGACCCTCCTACATTGTATAAATGCAAAATGGTCCAACCACCTTGGAAAACCAGTATGGCACTTCCTCAGAAAATTGGAAATAGAAATACCTTATGATCCAGCAATTCCTCTATTTGGTATACACCCACAAGAGAAACGAGCCAGTACACAAGTAGATATACACACGTCAATGTTTACCACAGCACTATTTACAATAGCAAAAAGATGGAGACAGCTTAAGTGTCCATCAATGGAAGAATGGATAAACAAACTGGTAAATGCACACAATGGATTATTTATGCTGCCTTGGAGAATAACAAGGAAGCTGCAAACAAACCACCACATAATGTGGATGAACTTTGAGGATATTATTCAGAATGAAATTAGTCACAAAAGGACAAATATTGCATAAGACCACTATTGTAAAAGCTTAAGATAGCCATACTAAAAGTAAAAAAAAAAAATAACATTGGTTACCAAGAGTGGAAGGAAAGGAACAGTAGAGCAGAGGATAGAGGACAGACACATCATAGTTTGGGTGTTGGGGAGGGCAATACACACAAAAGAGGAGGGGTATGTAAGAAGAAAGGGGAACACTGAGGCAGGTTTGCTTGGGCTAAATGGGACAGAGGTAAATAGTGATGTATGCTCAACCTTGAAACAACAGGTCTCTGTGATACAGGGATCAAGGCATAGTCTGAATGGGTTGTTAAGTGCCGTCAAGTTGATTCCGACCCATAGCAACCCTGTATAGGGTTTCCAAAGAGCAGCTAGTGAGCTTGAACCACCAACCTTGCAGTTCAAACGACTTTGCAGTCTGATGCATTCGCCCACAGCACCACACCAGGACTCCTTAGTCTGAATGGTTAAAAGGGGAAATAATAAGATGTTTGACTGTCTTACAAATATTGGTTTCCCTTGCCTACTATTGTAAAATAGACACTAGAGTGGGATAGAAAGGAATATCAGGAAACAAGATTATAGAAAGCTTGTAAGCCCGTCTTCTGCCTATAACTGATTGGAATACCTAAAAGGGATCCTAGAACTTGCCCAGTGAAATAGGCTTCTTGCGGCGCCTCTGTAGTGTATAGGACCTTAGGTGGAATCTTGATTCCCCATCCAGAACCTTAGGTGGGGCATTCCCACTTTGAAAGGACAACCAGACTAGCCTGGAGCAATTAGTGGAAGAGAAGGTACTACTTGAAAGAAAGGTCAGCAGGAAATATTAAAAA